TCTCTCTCTCCCTCTCTCTCTCTCCCTCTCTCACAATCTCTCTCACTCTCTATCACACACACACACACACACTCTCTCTCCTCCCCCCTCTGTCTCACTCTCTCTCTCCCTCTCTCAATATCTCTCTCTCCCTCTCTCTCTCCCTCTCTCACTATCTCTCTCTCTCTCTTTCTCCCTCTCTCCCTCTCTCTCCTCCCCCTCTCTCTCTCACTCTCTCTCACTCTCTCTGTATCTCTCTCTCCCTCCCTCCCTCCCTTCCTCTTAGGGTAATGTTATACCAGCTCCGGTGTAATGTTTCGGTCAATATTTCTCTGCGCAGGTATCCCCGTTTGGTTTGAAGCAAGAGTCGGATGAAAAGAGGAAGGAGTTTGCCATGGGTAACTCTGACTATCTCACTATGCTGAATGCTTACAAGGTAAGTGATTTGAGATTGATGTAGAGGTGGATGTACATCTGTGAGGCAAAATGATGAAACCAGGCACTGTTCAAAATAATTAAATCAAAGTAATTGGCGTTTTTTCGCCGGTCTGACAATTTTTCTTGAATGTTTGTTTTTTGGCTCAATACCTTGTATGTACTTTTAAAAACACATTTCTGTGTCGATTTTACCAAAAAACTTTAATTGAAGGCACAAAAAATGTCATTTTCAGTTTCCAAGGACTCTCAAGCTATGGAAATTACCAAACTTTAGCAGCCATTTTTTTACTAATTTCACCTCTGAAACCAGACGACCCCGACCTCCTTCAATCAAATATTTCAACTTCTATTAAACATAGATTGATTTTTTTTCTTACCAAAACAAGGCAAATGAACAGGCTTTAAGATGATACCAATAACCCTATATGCCCAAAATTGATGAGCGCCTGATTCCACCATGTTGTGACACATATGTATATTGTGTGTTTATCAAAGGTGCAGATTTTCTTGATAAATTGGGAAATCCAGGTTTTTAAAATTTTCAGGATTTTTTTCACTTTGTGTAAATATAGTTTTGATACAAGATGTGTCTGTAAATAATGATTCCCTATGCATGGGGAAACTGCTTCTTTTTCTTTCCTCATCCTTTCTATTGTCATTTCCTTTGTATGTTTGTCACTCTCTTGTGAACTGCTATTTCCGGGGTGCCTTGATAGTGGAAGCAGACTTTTTGTGCTGTTGGGGCTAGAGAGGTGAGCAGAGTAAGCCTGATTCCCCACTTGGACTTCTCTGTTGACATCCACCCCTTGGCGCTCATATAACCTTATGCTGTTGCGAGCGCCGTAAAACCTTACCAAAACTAAACTACTTACCTGGTGAGTGGTGGTATTGCTGTATGTTGTGTGTATGTTTGTCTGTGTGATCTTCTGTCTTGGACATCTAGCTCTCACAGGCAAAATTGAAGGCAAACGAGGCAGGGGTAGGCCCAGAGCAACCTACTTAATGAACCTAAACAAATGGGTAACGGGGACAGATCAGGGAAACATGGCTTTTTTAATTAAGAACATCCGAGCAAAAGAATGAATGGAGAACCATGATGGCCGATGTCTGTCGCAGATCTGGCGCTGGATGATGATGATGATCTGCCGTCACTTGTCACTTTGGGTTTTTTAAAATCCCATTTCCTGATATGGTACAGGTACTGATATTTGTGAGTTTAGTAAAAATGTGCCAACATCGTAATACATCTTCAATGACAATTCTATTGGAAACGCTTCACTTGTTCATTCGTACCAACTGTAGTGAGGTTACTGAACACACCTTGCTACAAATGAAACAAAGAGAGAGAGAGAGAGAGAGAGAGAGAGAGAGAGAGAGAGAGAGAATGTTTTACGGAGCGGGTTGTCCCAGCACGTGAGACATGTATTTACTAATGTCATGTCTTGTTGTGAGTATGCGTGAGTGCACCTAACCTTTTAAACGTCTACTGCCATTGTTAACGACCAAGACAAATTTCTCCCTGCGAGATGAATAAAGGAATAAAGATTGTCATTGTCATTGTCTGGCCAAAACCGGCCCATTTTCTCCCCTGCAGCGCTGGACAGAGGCCAAAGAGAGGGGGTCCCACCAGGCGTATCTTTTCTGTCAGGAGAACTTTCTGTCCATCAAGACCTTACAGGTAAGAGCTTTGGATGTCGTGTCGGGCAAGATCTGTGACGTCACACAACATGATATTTGTGGCGTCACATGACATGATATTTGTGGCGTCACACGACATGATATTTGTGACGTCACATGACATGATATTTGTGGCGTCACACGACATGATATTTGTGATGTCACATGACATTAGTTTTTTTAAAATATCAGATGACACATGATATTTGTGACATCACATGACATGATATTTGTGATGTCACATGACATTGGTTTTTTATATCACATGACACATGATATTTGTGATGTCACATGACATGATATTTGTGATGTCTTGCGTTTACAACTGAGTGATTTCATAATTACATGTGCTCATCTGTTGATGTGTGTGTATACGTGTGTGTGTTTGTGTAGGTTTTAGTGTGTACCTGTTAGTGTGTGTGTGTGTGTGTATGTGTGTGAGTGTGTGTGTGTGAGTGTGTGTGTGTGAGTGTGTGTGTGTGTGTATTTGTGTATTTGTGTGTGTGTGAGACTTATGATTGCTTAATTTTGTGTTTGGCTTTTAATGTTCATGTATGCTTTCATTTACATGTAGTTTTTTCCTTCTGGTGTGTGTTTCATTCGGCTGTTCTTGTTCAATATAATTTGAGTTTGTTTGTCATTACATGTGAGCACTAATGTGTGTGTGTCTGTGTGTGTGTGTGTGTGTATGTGTGTGTGTGTCTGTGTATGTGTGTTTACTCAAGTCTTTTTGTGGTTGGTTGGCGGGTGCTCTGGTGTGGTTTGCTTCTTCTTTCCTATGAAACATCTATCGTCCTCATCTCCCCTTTTTCTTTTTTGTGTTTGTTACTCTTTTGTAACACCTCTAATCTTCTGGCGCTCATATGACTTTGTGCAGTTGCGAGTGCTGTAAAACCTCTACTAAAACTAAACTAAGTATGTTAACTGGAGTGTTTTTGTGTATGATGTGTGTGTTTGCTCGAATAATCAAATGTGTGTGTGTATAGGTGTATGTATGTGTTTACTTGAATGTATGACATGTGAGTGTGTTTACTGGAGTGTTTTTGTGTATGTGTCCGCAGATGCTGAACAGCCTGAAGCAGCAGTACGTGGAGCTTCTCTCCTCCATCGGTTTCGTCCGGTCTGGTCTGCGGCAGAGAGACGTGGAGAGGGCGGGGAGGGGGGGGTCTGATGGGGTGGCTGAGATCACTGGATTGGAGGTAGGTGGGGAGAGGAGAGGAGGTAGGGAGGAGGAGAGGAAGGGAGGAGGAGAGAGGAGAGGAGGAAGGGAGGAAGAGAGGGGAAGGGAGGAGGAGAGGGGGAAGGGAGGAGGAGAGGGGGAAGGGAGGAGGAGAGAGGAGAGGAGGAAGGGAGGAGGAGAGAGGAGAGGAGAAAGGGAGGAGGAAAGGGGGAAAGGAGGAGGAGAGAGGAGAGGAGGAAGGGAGGAGGAGAGAGGAGAGGAGAAAGGGAGGAGGAGAGAGGAGAGGAGAGGAGGAAGGGAGGAGGTGAGAGGAGAGGAGGAAGGGAGGAGGAGAGGAGGAAGGGAGGAGGTGAGGGGAGAGGAGAGGAGAAATGGTGGAGGAGAGGGTGGGGTTGGGAGAGGAAGAGGAGATAAGGCAGGAGGGGGAGGGTACTGAGGCAGAGAGACTGTGGCACCGTTGTTTTTTGTGGTTGTTTTTTTTTCTTCTCGTCCATGAAGATTTCAGTGCTGGCTTTCTTGCCATGATTTGTTGTGGCAAAACAAGAAAACTAACTCGTACTTGGCGAAAAACTGGATCAAAACAAGCTAGCAAAAGTTTTTACGAGCTACAAGCGACCTGTTAGTTTCAATAGAAACCTGGATAAGTGGTTCGGACTTGATTTTGTGGGCTGGTATTTTGATACAACTATTGTCGTAGCTCCATACTCTCAGGAAGTCAGGCAGCTGCATAACAAAGAAAGTTTTAGATAGGAACCCTCAGGGTAAGAGATCAAGGGGAAGACCGCGTGGAACCTGGAGAAGAATCACAAAAATCGATGTACAGAAAAGTGGGAAGACATGGAATAACATCAAGAGGCTAGCCCAGGATAGAGAAAAGTGGAGGGTGTTTGTCCATGGCCTATACCCTGGTGCAGGGTGAGAAAGGCAATGGTGATGATGATTGTCGTAGCTCGGTGGATGGAAGCGTGCGGCAGCTACGACGTATACTCGTAATCTGGGTGTCATGGGTTGACATCACTCGTGACTCATTGGAGCAGAGGGAGATAGGACTATAACGCTAACACTAAAAAACAACTCAGCTGATAGTTAGTGAACGCATATATCTCCTCAGTGATTATTTACATTAACACCATCTTACGTCATCACTCACAACCACCGCATCATATTAAAAATAATCATTGCTCTCAGATCCTTGACATGCATCTATGTTTCTATATCTCTATCTGTAACATTTGCTTGTTATAATGGTTATGTAAGTAATACACTGTTGGACACTATCGTTTGCACCTTTTTCCTTCTAATTAGATTGCGTCAATATCTTAGAAATGGGTAAGGGACAAAAAAAAGTTTTTCTGTCTTTCTGCTAGGGTTGGGCCTGACAGATTGGGTCAAAGACCGTCTCCCTAACCCTATCTGTACGTCGTGGTTTACTATCGTATCCATACGATGTGGGGAACTCTGTGCCACCACTTAACCCTATCCATACGTTGTGTTATACTATTGTATCCATACGATGTGGGGAACTCTGTGCCACCACTTTCCAAAGAGGAAATTTACTCGTTAATCCGAATTGTATGCTTTGCATAGCAGTCTGGATAGGGTTAATGATCTTAATTGTGTCTTTGGAGCTGTTAAAAATAAAAATTCAGTTGAAAAACTTTTCTTCTTTTTTCTTTTGTCCCAGTTCAACGTAAACTCTCAGAACTGGAAGCTGTTGTCGGGTATTCTGGTGGCGGCGCTGTACCCCAACATCGTGCAGGTTCTCACCCCGGACACACGCTACCACGCCAGTAGTGCTGGTGAGACACACACTCGGATATAACCCTCCCAAGTGTCGTTGACAGACTGCTGGTGGTGTCAGGGGGATTTACCTGATTTACCTGATTTACGTGATTTCATCATATTTATATTAGGCATCGTGGTGAAACCAGGCGCTCGCTCGTCGAAATAATGAAATGGAAGAAAAGAGCTTTTTTCTCCCCGCTTGACCATTTTTTTTCGAATTTTTGTTTTGGCGCAACACCTTCTTGGTCCATTTAAAAATAAATTCCTATGTGGATTTTACAGAAAAAAGTTGATTAAAGTCACTAAAAGTGTAAATATGGACTCTCCGGCTGTGGAAGTCACCAAACTTTGGCGGCCATTTTCTCACTAATTTTTGCCTCCGAAACCAGGTGACCCCCACCTCCTTCAATCCAAAACATCTCCACATCTATTGAAGGTAGATGGGTTATTTTTTCATCATTAGCAAGACAAGTGAACCATCATTAAGAGGATACCAATAACTCAATATGCTCAAAAGTTGACGAGTGCCTGATTCCACCGCGTCGTAACACATATGTTGAAAAATGGTTGAGGAACACGCAAAACAGAGCAAGTTAAAGCCGTAAACTGATATATTTTCAGAAAGTAGAAGGTAAATAGGAAGTAGAGAGCATTTGGGAAGGAGTTTAAATGTTCGGTGGTGAATAAAGAAATGGGATAAATGAACTGAAATAGAGACTCAAATTTCAATCAATTAAGGCGGATATCACAGGTCGGAACTTACGGCCGGTTTAATTGGCTGTCCACACTTTGAGGGTTAATATCAATAATAATTAGTGTAGTGATTTATATCGCAGCTGTCTGTGTGTTTGAGTGTGTGTTAATGTGTGTGTGTTTGAGTGTGTGTTTGTGTGTGTGCATGAGTGTGTTTGTGTGTGTGTGTATGTGTTTGTGTGTGTGTGCATTTGTGTGTGTGTGTGCATTTGTTTGTGTGTGTGTGCAATTGTTTTTGTGTGTGTGTGTGCTTGTGTGTGTGGTTTGCTTCTTCTTTCCTGTCAAACGTCTATCGTCCTCGTCTCTCCCTTCTTTTTTATATTTGTTACTCTCTTGTAACACCTCGAGTCTTCTGGCGCTCATGTGACCCTATGCAGTTGCGAGCGCCGTAAAACCTCAACTAAAACAAACAAACCTTGCTGTCTGTGTTGATACAGGTGCTGTGATGCGAGCCCCGAATGCTGATGAGTTGAAGTTCAAGACCAAGGCGGATGGTTATGTGAGTGTCATGTGGTTAGATTGTCAGTCATTAGCTGAAGTTATGTCTATAAAGAATTTAACCCTATCTGTACGTCATGTTTCACTATCATATCCATACGACGTGGGGAACTCTGTGCCACCACTTTCCAAAGAGGAAATTTACTCGTTAATATGCATGGCATAGCAGTCTGTCAAAATGATTTTTTGAGAAATACTGAAAGTTTCAAAGAGATTTTCGTATTCTAAAATGTGAAGAATACAACCCCGGGGGTACAAAATGACCCCAGGGCGTACGGCTAGGTTTAACACACAGGTGGAAAATGTCAGTCAGCAGGCTGCTTGCCCCCTCTCCCTCACATCCTGACATGTTCAACCCCTGGCCATCCCTGCCGTGGATGGTTGGCGGGTGCTCTGGTGTGGTTTGCTTCTTTTTTCCTGTAAAACATCTATCGTCTTTATCTACCCTCCTTCTTTTTTTTGTTTTTTACTCTCTCGTAACTCCCCTAATTTTCGGCACTTGTACGACCTCATTGTGTTGCAAGTGCCGTAAAACTCTTACGAAAACTGAATCATCTTCGCAAGAATTTCCCACTTGGCTCGGTCCTTTCGAGGACGGGCGTTAAATTCGGAGGTCCCACCTCTTAAATAACCTAACAGTGTTGATAGGGGCGTTAAACCTATACCCTTTCACCATTTCACTTATCATCGTCCCCCCCCC